ATTATACAAATGAAGAAATGGAAGCAAACAGGATTAAGTGATTTGCCCAGGATCACATAGCTAGCTAGTAAGTGTCTGAGGCCAGATTTGAACTCAAGAAGAAGTCTTCCTGCCTTGAGATCCGGCACTCTATCCACTGTCACCTAGCTGTCAATTTTAAGTTGACATCTTGATAATTCAATAATAAATACAGAGCCATATATTAATTCTTCTATTGCTCTGGGCTTTAGAAACCAGTAGAGTGCTTCAATTACAATTATTACAGGTTTCTTGCAAATCATTTCATAGAATGTTCCCCTCCTCCCCCTAAACAACAAACTTTTATTTTATCAATTTGCAGGAGAGTGGGAACACAAAATCTGAAAGAAAAACAGCCCTTACCTTCACAAAGCTTACATTTTACTAGATGGGAAATGAGCATAGGCTCTTATAGTTAACCAGAAAACATGAAACCTGAAAATATATTTCAAAAATCTCCCTACTCAAAATGTTATTAGAAGTTGTACAAATGAAAAAATTGGCGAACAAAGTAACTGAAAATGGAATCAAAGGACTTAGTGTAAGTGACTGAGGGAGATACTGTGGAATAGTGGCTAGCATGCTGGGGCCTGGCGTCAGGAAGACCTCTATTCAAAACCTGTCTCAGACCCCAGTAGTTTTGTGATTATGGACAAGTTACCCAGGCAATCCGACCTTCAGTTTTCTCATCTGTAAAATGGGGATAATACTTGTTGTCCCTACCTCACAGGACAGTTGTGAAGCTCATATGAGAATATAAATGCAAATGCTTTATACAATCGAAAGGACTATATAAATGTCACCTGCCTCATCCAAGGCTCTCATTTGTTTAACTGTAACTATTTTATTGATGGTTTTTGTCTTTATATCAGTCATTTCACTGTCTCCCTCACCCTTCCCTTGTGCCCCCCTCCCAACCTTTTCCTCCCCTATGGAAATACAAAAACATCAAATAGTGACCACATCAGAAAATATATACAATCTTCTGCCCAGTAATCCCCCTATATAAAGAGGAAAAAGTTAGTTAAAGTGATTTGCACAAGGATATAAGGGCTGTGGCTCATCTCTGAAGATAACAACATAAATGAATATAAATTGGATATATATGCCAGGAACTTCTTATGCAGAAGAAGCTTGGAAGAGCCTTGGTTAAATGATTAGTCTTCCCAGTAACAAAAGGGAAAAGGCCTTGGAGAGAGGCAGTTTCTAGTTTCAAAACTTTGCCCCTGAAGTTAGTTATTCAGGTGATCAACTTTTCACCAATACAAATGTAAAACATTCCAGAAAGATTACTGCTTTCTGATCAACTAACTGAACTTTTTGTGGGAAAGGTAGGAGTATGATCTTCTATTCAAGTCCTATTCCAATCTCTCACCATGAGTAGGAGAGGGTTTTGAGGCTCTGAAGGATATACCAATTGAGCATATTTGTTGTTGTTGTTGTTGTTTTTTTGCTGAGGCAATTGGGGTTAAGTGACTTGCCCAGAGGCACACAGCTGGTGAGTGTCAAGTGTCTGAGGCTGGATTTGCAATTGAGCATATTTATATTTGGAAGGTTCTCAATACAGTCTGTCCAACTGCCAGCCTAGCTTAGTATGGAAGGGCTGTTCATCACGGGGTTGGACACAAGGTAATACTTTTTTTTTTTTTTTTGGCCACAGCAACTCATGAACTAGTGTACTGAAGGACAGAGGAGGTTGCACCTGTGTGGACAGGACTGCCCACAGGGAAGGAAGCACGAATCCTTGCAGAGGCCTGGTGTCCTAGTTACCTCACATTCAACTGGGGCTACCTCTCATTGTATTCCCCACTATAGCCAGGAAAGATCAGAGCAATTAATGAGGCCACCATTTTAAGCCTAAACAAGGGATGTATGAAAAGCTCTAGATAGGTCTATCTACTCTCCTGAGCACTGCTGACTTGCTGGGAAGGTGTTTGGACAACTCCTTCCTGAATCTGACTCCCAGCAAGTACGGGTAGAACCTGTGCTAAAGCACGGCTCTGAATTCTTCAGGATGCCTTCAACTCAGCCCAACAGTTATTAAATGCCACTTATTAGGCATTTACAAGACAACAGTTATATGATCCCAGCTCTCAAGGAGGGAAGATACAATCTGTACCACACAAACAAACACAACAAAGCAATTTTAAAGGCAAGAACACTAAAGGAAGGCTTCCTTTCTCTAGACTGGTTTCATCTGTAAAATGAGGGGTTAGCCTAGATGTTCCTTCTCCAAGATCCCTTCGGGCTCTGAAGTTCTATAACTTAACAACTAACAACATTTTCATAGTGCTTTTGGGATTTGTAAAGCGCTTTACATACGTTTTCTCATGTGATCCTCCTGGCAACTCTGTGAGGTAGCTTCTATTACTGTTTCCTTTGAGACCTTTCCTTAAACTGTTGTGGAGAGGCAAGGCCCAACTCCAGTTTCTCAAACATTTGGCTGGATAGTTTGCACCAGAGGGTTCTGCCTCTGGATACTTTGTGGGCCTGTACTCCACCCACCCAGAAGGGACCGTGTGATAGGAGCTGCCTTTGATGCCTGCTCCAGCAGGTGCATGTGCTAGGGGTGCCAGGCTGATGATTGGTGACTTACTTAAATAAGCATCTCTCTCACACCATGGGAGGAGACAAAGGTGATTCTGAAACACACCCTTAAGTATAAGGAGTCAGGCACTATTAATTCAGTTCAGAGTGGATTTGTTTGAACTTGTGACAAAACCTGTTACCAAAGCTGCTCCTTTTCCCTCCTACGTCTCCCTCCAAGAAACCTCACCTGTTCTCTCCTGTGCTGGTGCTGTTTCACTCTAGTAAGTCTCTTACTAAAATGACTGAAACTTTCAAACCAAAAGGGGTATCCCTAGATTCACTCTGCCCACTCCCAAAGGGCTTTCCTGCAGTTCCTACAGCCACTCTCAGGCTTCGCTCTCTCTACCCTCCCTCCCCCACTCCCTCAGTCCTGTCCTCCTGCCAACTACCACTGTCCTGGAGACCTTTCACCTTCAGAAAATTTCTAGCAAAACCCTCTTAAGAGGCCCTGTCCATATCCCCATTTTCCTTTGCCTCCCTCCCACTCATGGATGTAACAAGATATTCTCTTCACTGGCCCTGCCCTCTCCTCTCAGCTCCCTCTGCTCCATCTCCCCCACAAGCCTCTCCTAGGCCCTGTCCTTCTCCTTCCTCTGCAATCCCACTCCTGCACATCTACACACTCTTCTCATACCTCAGCCTCCTCCAAATTCTACCTCCTCATTCCAGACACAGCCTCAAACCCTCTTACAGGCACTGCTCTAACTCCAACTTGATCTACCCTGATCCCATAAACCCCCATAAAAACTCCTCATAAGCCCTGACCCCCTATCTTCTCAGACACTTCCTGAAACCCACCACATAAGTCCTGTCCTCCCCTAATTCTCTTTCTCCCAGATCTACCCCCCCAAATCTTTCTCACAGTATTTGTTTTCCCCTTTTGTCCCTAGACACTATTCCAAATCCTACTGTAAATAGTCTCTTTCCTAATTCCCAGCCATCCACAGGCATATGAACCCTCTCCACCCCCGCAAAAAATCTCATTGGTCCTTTCTTCCAACTTCATGCCACCCCTAGCCAGCCCTGAAAAACTCTCCCAGGCTCTGTCCTTCCTCCAGCTCCCACTTCTCTCACTACCCTTCCCTGCCCCTAACCCCTTCTTCTAACCCCCAACTCCCTTTGCCCCATCCTCACAACCCTCCCTAAAAATGGCCCCTTCAGACATCACCCTTCCCCCCCTCAACTCCCTCTACTTTCTTCCCTGAACACACCTCCCTACTGATGGTTCTGGGCTTCTTCCTACTCACAAACTTCCCTCCAAAACTCTTCTCAAGACTTTGGTCCATCGTCTTTTCTCCCTTCTCATTCTCTCCACCCCCACCCCCTTCCTTGGCAGGATCACAGATTGTATCTGAGATCTTAGAAAACTGGTCCAACTCCCTCATTTTAAAAACAGAAGAGGAAACTGAGCCTCTGAGAGGTTGTGACTTCTACAAGGTCACACAGGGTGAAGCCAACCCAAGATGCAAACCTGGGTCCTCTGACTCCAAATGCTGTATTCTTGCGCTCCCCACAATCTTTGTGTCTCTCCAGTCTTTCCCCCCTCCTCGCTCCCCCCTGCCACCCCTCTCTGGCCCTTCTCTTCCACTCCCACCTCCTCTCCCCTTTCTCCTCCCTTCTCTTCCACTGCCCCCTCTTCTTGTCCTCTTCTCCTCCCCCTCTTCCTCTTCCAACCCCTTCTGACCCTAGTCTTCTACTCCTCTCCCCATTCCTCCCTGCCCCCTTCTCTTCCACTCTCCTTACTTCCCTTACCTCTTCCCCGCTCCCCGTCCCCACCTCGTCTCCTTCTCTCCCATTCCTCCCCCCTCCTCCTCCTCCTCCTCCTCCTTCTCCTCCCCACTCTTTCTCCCTCCCCCTCCACCCCCGAGCCCCGCCTTTCTCCTCCTTCGGTCGCTCCGCCCCACTCCCTTCGCCGCAGTGGCGCCCCCAGAGCGCATGCTCCCCGGCGTGGCCAGGGGTGGTGTTTGTGCGGGAGGGGCCGAAGCACTAAGGGGAAGGAGGCAAGGTAAGGGGGTATTGGAAGTAAGGCACCCGGAGCGTGCGCGTGCGCGTGCTGCTCGGGGGAGGACGGGGAGAAAGGCTGTCCAAAGAAATGGAGTCTGCGCACGCGCGTGCGGGAGCGCGCCCTGTGCTTCTGTCGGTCTTCCTCTGATTAGGGTCCCTTTTCCTCCCGACTCCTTCGAGGGGGCGGGGCGCGCGTGCGCATCCCACCTCCCAGACACGGAAGGGGCGGGGAACGGAGAACGAGGAGGAAGAAAGACTGGGTAGCCGAGGCGCGCACGAGGAGCCGCTGGGCCGGGTGGGGGAAGGGCAGGCAAGCGCGCGCGGAGGGGTGGGGGGGTGCAACCGCGGAGACGCGGCCGGCGGACGAGCGAGCGCGGGATAGAGGCGGGCGCGCGCACCAGCTTCCCCTCACTCGGTGGCGGCGTCTTTGTTCCGTGTGGAGAAGGGAGAACTCGAGAGCCAGCGACGGGCCCTGGCCCCGGCAGAGGTGGGGGGGAGCGCTGGGGACGCGGTGCTGCGGACGGTGGCGGCTCCTCCCAGGTCCGGGTGAGGAACAAGGCCCCAGGGATGGGCGTTGGGGAAGGGAGGGGGCGGTTGGTTTGAATGAAGGGGGGGGGGCGGGGGGGGGGGAGGGCCACATCGTCGCCTTGGGTCGCGCGGGGGCTACGGCGGCGCCACGGGGTCAAGAAACCTCCGCTGCCAGCTCTCACTCGGCGACCGGGCTGGGAGGGCTGGCCGGGCTAGGCCCGGCCTGGGCAGGGCCTGAGGGGTGGGACGACGAGCGGGAAGCTGATCTCGAGAGGCAGAGTGCAGGAGAGGCCACTTCTAACCGTAGTCCTCACGGACACCCCCCACCCTTCGTCTTCCTCAGTTTACCTCGGGCCCCCCCTTCCTACTTCTTCCTCTTTCACACCTACCCCTCCCCCGGCGCCGCCGCCTTGGACGTCTTTCGTGTGCTGCGCGGGTCCCGGGGTGGGGGGCGGGTCCTCTCTGCCACCCCACATCCCCACCCCCGGATCTCTAAGCGCTGGTAGTCCTAGCTTGTTCCGCGGATCCCTCCTTCCGAGGGGTTGGGGGGCAGCAGGAGGAAGAGAAAGAATGAGAGACTGTGTGTGTGTGTGTGTGCGTGCGCGCGCGCGTGTGCATGTCTGTGCGTGTCTGTGTGTCACTGTGTGTGTGTCTGTGTGGTATGTTTGTGAGAGAGAAACACGCCGGGTGGGGAGCCCCTTGGGCTCCGCCGAGATCCCCGTCCGAAGTGCTTGCCTCGCAGTCAGTGGATCGCACAGGGCCAAGATCGGAGGGGAGTGGGGGGAGACCTGCGTGGGAAGCTGGTGCCACGCGGGAAATCTCTCCGAGGTTTTCCAAACAAACACACTGGTTTCCTTCTCTGTCTGCTGCGTGGGGAAGGGTCCTGGCCGTTCTTCCCCCCCAGCTTTGTTGTTTGAGTCCTCCCTCCTTAACAATAGACTGTTGTTAGAAAACGCTTTGGGAGCTTGCGCTTCTGGTTACGGGAGTGAGCAGCACCTCTGCTCCAAGTGCAAAATGGTTTTTAAAAAATAAAGTAGGAAACGCAGAACATGTTGGATAATTACGGGATCGAGGGCTTTTTAAGCGCCTTGATGTTCAGTCAGCCAAGCTAAAAAGATCACCTCGTCTCACCCCATTTTTTTAAAATGGAAAGAAATTTTGTCTTAAATTCTTGAATGCCCCTAATAATAAAGTTATTTCAGAATCTCGGTTGTGAAATGAGGAGAGCGAGAATGGTCACTGAAAGGGGAAAAAAAAGAACTTTGGTGTCCTTAAATCTTTGTTCATCTCTGTTCCCCAAGACTATGTTCTATATAAATTGTTTTTAAAGAAATATAGGTATTCTAGGAGAGTGCTTTGATGCCCCAGATTTTAGTGAAGGTGTTTTACTTTCTTTGTTCATGAGAAGTTTTAGTTTTAAGGCACTGTTGATCTTTTGTTTCTTTCAGAAAGAGTAAAAAAAATAAGTTCCTTTCATGTGGGATAATATTTATTAAAAAACACTTGGCACAGTGCTTGGCACATGGTAGGTGCTATATAAATTTGTATTCCCTTTTCTGGAAGATGTAGGACTTTGAGCTGGAAAAAATCTTCCATATAGAGTAGACTAACCCTCTTATTTTACGGATGAGGAAACAGAAAATTTTACAGCTTGTCCATTTTGTATTTCCTTTTGAAGTGATGGACTATCTTAGAGAATTTTAAGACTGGAAGAGGCCTAGGGCAGGAGTTCTTATAACCCTTTTTGTGTCATGGACCCTTTTGGCAATTTGTCCTCTCAGAATAATGTTTTTTAAATACATAGGATTACAAGGGAAAGCAATTAATTGAAATACAATTATCAAAAAATTTAAAAAACTAAGCTCAAGACTTAAAGTGAAGAACCTCTGCCTTAGATGTAATCTATTCCAACTCCTTCGTTCACTGGACAAAATTTTAATGTGCAGCTACTAAATAAAAACATAAGTAAAACATGGGGGAACTATGATACAAGATAGTTTGTGGTAAGAACTTTATAGGCATTCAGAGAAAGCAGAGTTAGCTCCCAACTGGGAAAGGAAAATGCTTTGGGGAGGTAGTATTTGAGCTGAGCCTTGAAGAATCTATAAACCTGTGGTAGATATTGGAGAGAGGACATTCTAGGGAGGGTGACTTGCTTGAGCAAAGGTTTGGAGGCTGAAAAACTCTGGGTTCTTTTGGGAAATGATTAATAGTCCATTTTTGCACTGTAGTATTAGATAATGATGGAAAAGTAGGTTGGGACCAGACTGTGAAACAGTCTAATGGTACCGTGCTGAGGAGTTAGTCCTTTTTTCTATAGGCATTGATGGGAACCATAAAGGTATTTTGAGGAATCCAGTCTGTTTTAAGAGTTACAATCTAGAGTAGTGTTGACAGTGAATCGATCGGGTTGTTACAGTAGTCTGGGCAAGAGGTAATGAGGGCCTTTGCTAGGCTGGTACTAGTGGAAATGGAAAAGAGAGGAGAGGTTAGGAGTGACAGCACAGAGAATCAACAGAACTTGATAACTAATTGTATAACGGGTATAAGACAGAGCTATCAAAGAAGGCTTTGGGTTTCCAGACTGGCTGAGTGGGCCCCAAACATGGAATGACATGTCTGCCTAAGGTACCACACAGGAGAAGAGGTTGGTCTGGACTGAGAGAGACCCCAGGTCTTCTGACTCTTAGCCAATGCTCTTTCTGAAACACCAAGGACTATTTGGTTTGGTTGTACAGATGAATAATGCTTAGTTCAGAGAGTAATGATACTTTTCCTTCCCTTGCGCAGCTTCAGCAAGTTCCATTGATTTCTTTCCAAAGTTAAGCTTCTAAAAAAATGCCAGAGAGTTATCATTGCAGTTGTAAACTGCTCAAGGTAATATGGAGCAAAGTCAATCCAGTCCTTGCATAAGTGGTGTTTTAAGTGTCTCAACTTGGGCTTCAAATCTGTCACCTTAACTACAGTGATCCTTCAGTCAGTCTGTAGTGTACATACTGTTAAATTGATCAGCTAGAGAATATTTTCTTATGTTAGGCTTTCATTGCAGCACCATAAGATCAAATCACATTTAGATAATTTATTTTATGACATATTCCCTTTAGATTCCTGAAAGAAGCAGGTATTAGTTTGTATCATTTGTCATGTTTTTGTCCTTCCTGAAAATGCCTCCATTCTGCAAATGTCACAATAAAAGATATCATATATAACAAGCACATCTGGCAAACTGTTTTCAATTACAAGGAAATAAAAACTGTTGAGCCTTACAGTATCCAAAGGTTAAAATGGATCTGACACTACACAAATAAATAACATAACAGATTTAAAATTTTTCAGTGATGTTGGATAAATTAGGGAGCACAGATTATCCACTCAACTAGCCATCAAATAATGAATACCACTTTCTTCCCAGACTTGTGTGTGTATACATACCCAGAGATAAAGGAGAGAGTATTGTTATCGTTCTGTTGTTTCAGTCCTGTCTGACTCCTCGTAGCCCCATTTTGGGTTTTCTTGGCAAAGATACTGGAACGGAGTAGTTGGCCATTTCATTCTCCAGCTCATTTTACATATAAGGAAACTAAGGCTATATATTGAGAAACTGAGGTCACAACTTGAGTGTCAGAGGCCAGATTTGAACTCAGGAACATGAATCTTCCTGACTCTAGACCTGCACTCTATTGACTGCGCCACTAGCTGCCTCATTATTATTATCCTCCACATTTTTTAATAGAAAAGGAGGCTAGGGCTCTGAGAGGTTCAGTGATTTGCCTGTTCATAGTCACTGCTCACAAGTGAGAGTTTGGATGCCTGAGGTTTCTTCCCAGTGTTCCCTACACTCCACCATGCTGCCTCTAAGTTCTTATCACCTAAATGTGCCGTTGGGGTTCTGTAAATCTATTTTATAATCTCTTTCCTGTTGAAATGAGGTGGGTTGTAGTGTGAGTGCAGGTCCTATACCAGGGTAATTTTTTAAAAACATATTATTATTATTATTTTTGTTTTTTGGTGAGGCAGTCGGGGTTAAGCGACTTGCTCAGGGTCACACAGCTAGTCAGTGTCAAGTGTTTGAGGCCGGATTTGAACTCAGTTCCTCTTGACTCCAAGGCTGGAGCTCTATCCACTGCGCCATTTGGCTGCCCCCAGGATAATTTTTACTGAGTATCACAGCTTATTGTATTGTAGTAATGTAGTACTTAGTTCATAAAACACTGTGTAATCATTTGAACTCATTCCTGCTGTTGCAAGTTATTTCACCTCTCTGGGCCCCAGTTTCTTATCTACATAATGAGGAGGTTGAACTTGATCTGTAAGGTCTCTTCCAATTCTAATTCTGTGATCTTAGATGGAATGATTTATAGCTGGAAATTGAGGCCCTGATTTACGGAGATAGGTTGGTGTACAGTTCTTTGTTATGCTTCTGGCATAAAGTAGTGTGCCTGTCCATTTGTATTGTGTGCTAGAAGTTTGACGAAAATATTCGCTGTAACATGGAAAAAGTCTTGAGATGTTATCCAATTGTTTTATGAAAGTAAATCAAGCATTTATTTAACATCACTATGTGCCAGGCACTGTGCTAGACACAGGAGAGATAAAAAAGAATAAAATCCTTTCCCTCAAGGTGCATACATTCTATAGGAGTATATAACATGTTCATATACAAGACATCTATTTTAAAAATGAAACTGTGGGCATATTAATTTGCTAGATCTTTTGTTATTGGTTTCAGTGTTGATAATGTGGTCTTCAAACTTTTTTGATCACACACCCCCCCCAGTAAAACCCCCAAAATACCTCTTACATTCAGTATGTGTATATTTTAATGAAACAGTTTGTATACATGTATTACTGTGCTAATAGTTATGTACATTATAAAACTTACACAAAAATATATATTTTAAAAAAATGAGATAAAGATAAAATAACATTTAATCCTAGAGTTAATAGGGAGCCATTGGAGTTTGTTAAGTAAGGGAATGACACGGTCAGATCTGTGCCAAAGGAAAGGGGCAAAGCAT